TAGCTGATGGTCATAAAGCGTGACTCGATCGAAAAGGCGCTACGGGAGGGGAGGTGGGATGGGAGAGAGGAATGTAATGGCCGACGAACGAGCACACGAAGGAACGAACGAACGAACGAACGAAAGATTCTCGCTCGGTTGAATTAAATTAATTGATAAAGGTCTGGAAAAATTCTTTCCCGCGAAATAAGTAAATAAAGGAAATTTTGAGGAAGATCGAAACAAAAGTTTTTCCCCATCCTCCTCCCCTGCTTCCTTCCCGGGACGGATGCGAAAATCTGGAGGAGAAACCGACGATTTATTTCGAAGGTTTATTACGAGGTAAGTTGCAACTCGATATGATCATTCGAATTATCCCCTCATGCGTGACTCTCCCGCGTTCCATGCCGATCTACTATATTCATTATCTTGGAACTTTAATATATTCGTGTTCCACATGCATAACAGTACGAGGAATAATTCTAGTCGAGGCATCGTAGAATATAGCTTCGTATCGAGCAATTTTAAAAATTACCATCAATTATTTTATTATTCTACTCGAAGCTAATGAAACGATAATTATCGAATATTTTTGACGTTTAGAAAAATAAAGTCTCCTTCGAGATATATATATATATATATATATTTCTTCATCTTGGTTGACGTCGAACGACCCTCGACTATCATTCAATATATATCTATCAGATAAGAAATACACGGATAAACAACGCGAAAAAAAATATACATATCATTCCGATTAAAAAAAGAAAAAAGGAGAGAGAGAGAAAGTAAAAACAAGTTGACCTTTTTATCTATTTCCATCCGTGAAAAATGTGTTCACTTTTCTCTCTTTTTTTCCTTTCTTCTTGCACGTTAATACAAAACTGCAAGAAACTACGTACGTAAGAAGAGAGAGAGAGGGGGAAAAAAGAGCGAGGAAGCGTGCGGCGAAGATGATGGAAGGCGCAGCTGTGGCGATGATAAGCGCATTGGTGAAAACAAGGAGCGCCATTGAGGCAAGCGGTCGGTCGTCGCCGAGTGACAAGGCTCGAAGGTTGGATGCATTCTGCGTGGAAAATTATGCGTTCTTATGCACAGGCACGTGCATCGTGGATTATGCAAGGCGGGTATATAGCGAGCCTCGTGCCGATCGCGGTTTAAAATGCCAGCCGCGAGCCGGCCTTACCTTCGTCGCTCCTCATCGCGATCGAAATAAAGAGAAGCAACGCGCATACTTCCCCATTAAATTTTCATGGAGTAATCCGGAAATCCGCTTCGTTCGCTTTTCCCTTCTTTTCTCTCCTTTTCGCTCCAGACGAAATCCAATATACACATGCGAGAGTGAGTGTAAGGAGGATCGATCTTTCTCCAAAATTTAGATGCATCGTTTGCGTGGGATCCAATTACGTTTAAACAATTGTTGGATGCTCGATCTCGAGCCATTGCGCGATTTCCACGCCGACGTTTAATAATCTAAGAAGTAATTGGGGCAAAGTCCATCCGCGTTTCCTCTCCTTTCCATATTCGATACAATGTTAGTTAATTTTTAAAATTGTGCGAAAGAGGAGGAAATTCGAAGGAGTTTACGAATTTGTCTGGGAAATTTGAATTTTTCTTGCGAGAAAAAAAATATAATTTGCAAATATAATATGAACACTTTGGATTACAGAGAACTCTATAATCTTGAACTTGGAACAGGATACAGCGAAGTTGTGTAACAGCGAACGAAGCGTTCCTTCAAAAGACGATACGATACGATCGAATATACGTATCGAAGTCGATTGAATTCGACAAAACTTAAAAAGAAAAAAAATATAACGCGTCCATTTTTACCAATGGTTTAATTCATATAATTTAGCTATCGTGCATCGAAGGAGTCTATTCAACGATCTCGAAAGATATATTCGTTATTATTATTTTAATGCCGCGTTAATTAAAGCTATTCTCTTCTAAAGTTTTAACGCGAATACGTTTGCGTAAACAATTGGTAAACATGTTGGTAATGACGCGGAATTGGACAACCTTGAATGCAAATAAAACGAGTAGCGCGTTACGTAACGTGTGGGGGAAAAATTGAAGAGAAGGGAGATCCAATCCCTGGCGTTTTTCACGACTTCTTTATCGGGACGAAAAACTCGAGCTGAAAATTTTCGATTTAATCCCGTTTAAAATTTCGTTGAAAATTGAAAATGAATTTCGAGGACCCGCCTACACATGTATAAAACCCCATAATTTCGTATTCACGCTTTTATCCACGAACGATTTAAGCGTTTGATGACGAATCGCACTTGAGGAGGGAGAGAAAGAGTTAAAGTATGAAACCTGATAAAAGAAAAAAAAAAAAAATGATTTTTCGCGCGTCTTTGACGCGTCTAATGAAAGTTTCACGCGCGATAACCAGGCCATTAACGGGCCATGCGTCGCATGTAAATTGCAAACGCTCATAACCAACGAATCTGCATAAATTTCTCCCCCCTCTCCCTCTCTTACCCTCTTGGCCATCGTGCCGCTGAAACGCGCACCCCCTCCCCGTCCACTTTCGAAGCAAGAGCATCGTTTCGTCGCTCGAGACAGAATAAACCGATAGCAAGCATAACTCTTGGTCGAGGGAGTATTCAATTTCGACGGAAGGAAGTGCGCTCATTAGAAGCTCGAGTCGGTGGAGGGAAGGGAAAGAGGGAGGAGAGGAAAGGAAAAGAGAAGAAAAGAAACGAGAGGAGGAAGGAAACGAGGAAGGAACGGTGAAAACCGTGGTGAGACGTGCAAACACGCGGTTGGAACGTGAGAGAACGAGCGAAGAAACGTCGACAGCCAGGAATGCGAAAAAAATATTGGAATGGATGGAAAAGCCGCGCGCTTAAGAAACTGCAAAACAAACCTCGCGAGAACCTTGTTTTCGCGAGTGAATGAAGAAAATAGAAAGGAAAAGAAATCCACTTTTTCGTCGAATAGCGTGAGTAAAATATATATATATATATATATATATATATATTATTTTCGCGTAAAATAAATTGTCTGATAACGAAGATACGAAGAAAATTTTCCACCGTCCGCAATATATTCCAAACACCGCGTCATCGTTGCATCGGTGATGAGCGCAATGAGCGGAATATATACATCGTCGATACACGGTGTAATGACGAAGCGGCGATGATTAGAATATATTGTCGGCGCGTTCCAAAAATCCATTCAGGTTTCGTAGAGGTACGCCGAGAATTTTAAACGATGGAAAATTGTATAAAATCGATAATGAAATTGTACGAAACGAAGGTAAATTATCGAGACGAATGGTGGATTTAAACATCGAACATCATGCTCTAATGGAATTACGCGAATGGAATTCCTTTTAAACGGGTTCCTTGATCTCCACGCACGACACGAGACCTCTCGAGAACATCCTCCGAGCAAATCGGGGAATGTCGTCCAGCTGATCGATGAATCGGGTACACACGGATACGCGTGTAAAGTTGTCGAAACGACAATAGGGATCTGGTTAAATGATTAAATCGCGGTGAACAAAATCGTGTTGATTAATGAATTTACAGGCTCGTTCGTCCATTGTGCGTGAAGTTATTATTATTATTCGGGCCCATAAATAATTATTAATCGTTATCTTGATCTATATCTCTTCGAAGTGTTTTGTTCGAAGTCTAAAATACATCGGAGACCCATCAATTTGTCCCGTGGAAAAATTTCTAAATCGCGCCACGAGTTAAGTTTTTCCACGATCCCGTTCCTTGTCGTTCCATGGCTCAAAAAGTAGAAAAATTTCCAGTTTTTCGTGCGATAGCTCGTGTTTTCTCTCGAGGTTGTAAATAAAATCAGAGATCGAAACCTTCCACCGTTGTTCCAATCTTAAAAAAAGTTGAACAAAATTTCCAAAAAATGTTTCCATGTCCACGAATCCCCCGAAACACGTAAAATAATACGATTCGATTATAGAAAAATTTTGTAAATCATCCGCGAGTTAATTTTCCCGTCCCAAACATTAAAAAGTGACTTGAATAAAATTTCAGAGAAATCCAGTTTTAATTTATCGCGCCATTTAACCAGTTTTTGCCACGACGCAATATTTCCTCCTTCTGAACCGGACGACGTTGTCCCAATTGCGTTCTATTTCATATACGAAATACGATCCCCGAACCGAGAAATCATCGATCGACTCGACTCGACTCGATTCGTGATAATTCGCGAATCACTCTTAGAATCATTCTAACTCTCGATCGGGGGCAGAGACCCTTCCCCTCCCCCGAGAAAGTCTATCGTTCCCTCTTATTGCGGTTTCCAGATGAAATTATATCTACGAACGGTCTCGATGCGACAGAATCCGAGAGCGAAGAAAGTGGTTCGCTCGTCCGCAACCGGTATTGCTTCTCGAGCGAAATAAAACGAAACCGAAAGTGCCGCGCAAGTGTCGGTCGTCCGTCTCTTCTTTCCGCTAATTTCTTTCGCGGAACGATTGTGTGCGAAGAAAGAAAAAGCGGGAGGAAAAGAAACCTGTTCTCGATCGAAAACGCGTGGCTCTAAAAAAAAAAAAGCGTTTCGCGAATGCAGTTTCGATCGTCATCGATCGACACG